GAAGTTCTTAGCAATGCATATTACTAATCAAACATTAAGTTTTGATATATTTACGGTAGGAAACATACAAAATATCTTCATGGAACATGATCTTTACTTAATATCCTAATGATTTTTGTCATAAAAGAGAAATGTATAATTGTGACCCATACAATGTATTGTTGGCTATTGCTACAAATATCCCCCAGCGACTCAACACTGCTTTTGTGCTGCAGGGACACATATGTCCTTTATGTATTTAATCCCATTTTATTAACCGATGTCTTTGCTGCTGACCTTCGATGATCCAATTCAACCAAACTAATAAGCAAAATTTACTCTAGATAAACATTTGTGCTTCTTTTTTAGGGTTAGGCTGAACTTTCTTCTTCTGCGTTCTACTGTACAGACGTGAATTTACTTTTCCTTCAGACTGAGGCGTATTCATTTCACTTTTGGTGTGAAAGGGCTTTTACGTTCGTCAAAAATATAACTTTTTTATATTAAAAACAAACAAGCAAACCAAGCCCAGATTTAAAAAGTAACGCAAAAGTAACATAACGCATTACTTTCCATAAAAAAGTAACTAAGTAACGTAATTAGTTACTTTTTTAGGGAGTAACGCAATATTGTAATGCATTACTTTTAAAAGTAACTTTCCCCAACACTGGTTGTCGTATAATGACTTCAGCATGGAGTCTGTACGTAAAGTACTTTGAAATCTCCTTTACAGAGGCTTTTCTGTGTGGGAAGGTTCCTCTTCTTCAGGGTGGAGGTGCTGCTATGAATGCTAAGGATGATGTGAGATCTCGTATCGTCGGTGGAGCCGAATGTCCTAAAGGTCACTGTCCCTGGCAGGTAACCATCACAGAATCCACCTGTTCACAGGTCATACTGTACTTTACCGTCAAACATCTGTGTGTGTGTGTGTGTGTGTGTGTGAGTGTGTGTTGATGGACAGGTGTTGCTAAAGTACGGTCAGAAGGGTTTCTGTGGAGGTGTGATCTACAAACCCACCTGGATCCTCACGGCTGCACACTGTTTGGAAAAACTCAATGCCAGTTTTCTCAAGATAGTCGCAGGTATGGTCGCTCTCGGAACAGATTGTGAATGAAATTATTACACATGTGAAAACATCGTGAGAACACAACAACCGCAGATTCAAGGCGTGACAAATTTCATGTGAACAGTCAAATTAATTTTTGTGATAGTCCACTTCAGAACGACAAAAACGAATGAAACGACAAAAAATGAGTCAGAATATTGCAGGCAAACAAAACCACACCTGATTATCTCATTCATATTAATCAAACAATATTATCAAGAAGAGAAAATCAGTGATATTAACTAATTTCTAACAATTTATTGCATGCTTATACAAGTAATTATTAGTAACTGATAAAGCCTGAGAAAGGCTACATGTCAGATGTTTTAATGTATTTTGCAAATGTTTACATAAATATTTATATTTTGAATAAAGGAGTATGCTCAGTAATATTAGAGTGCTGCAGCCAAAACCAGACAGCCATGACACTACTAAAAGCGCAAAACGGAAAGAATAAAAAAAAAGCTAAAAACATTTTATGAGCTTTGGTCGTTCAAATTCTTAAATCAAGTTGCATGTACTAGATAAGCAAAATGGCATAAGATATTTAGTCTTGTTTCCTTGGGGGGGACTAAATTAAGTGAATTTTGCATAAAACAAGTAAAAATATCTATAATCAAGTCCCCGGTGCATCTACCAACCAAGGAAACGTGAAAAAGATTAACTCGGTAACTTTGTTTTGGGAAGCCTTTTTCTGCAAGCGTCTGAGAAAACCAGCGCGTCTGATTTCGCTCGCTTGGTGACGTGGCAAAGGGATCTCATTATAATATCACCGCCCCTTAATCTGTAAATGTACACCCACGGCGCCGTTATTGTGTTTTCGCAAGTGACAGCGGTGTAGCAGCTCTAATGCCATGATGAAAGTGTGAGCGAAGCATGCTAACTGTTCAGTGTTTGGCTGCAGAGACGAGCACAGAACACTGTTTAGAGTCCCAGCCTCAGACGAGACGACAGAGCAGTGCATTTATTGATGTATTTACTGTATATTGCTGCTGCCACACAGATCTAAAATAAACATGTGATTTATTTCCCAGCTGTTTACCTTCACAGACATAACCCACTGTTTTTGTAACTCATGTGTTTTTAACGTAAACTTGTGTGTGAATGAGAGCTTAGTTTAGTGCTCGCATGCTGTGACAGCCGCTTTCTGTGCGTGTGCTTCGGATGTGTGCGCTCAGAAAACCCTATATCAGAAGTTTAAACTCATATGGTTTAAAATGCATGATTTCAGAGTGATAAACATGATAATCAGAACCAAAACAGATGTTTTTAGCAGGTACGAGCTGTAATGGTGCAGCTCTATTCTGGAAAAGGGGGCGGGGAGCATCAGCTTGTTTGCATTTAAAGAGACAGACACGAAAAACAGCATGTTTCTGCTTCCACTCAAAATAGGCATTTTTTAAATGATCTGTGTGGTATTTTGAGCTGAAACTTCAGACACATTCTGGGGACACCAGAGACTTATATTACATATTGTAAAAAGGGGCATAATATGTCTCCTTTTAAATGAAAAACCCCATTATAAGAACCCACAGGAAAATCTATTGCGAATTATTCGTCTGGGTCTTGACGTTACGGCTGCAGCACACTATTTAGTGCCAGCTAGACGTGTGCAGCTCTATTGTGTGTGTTGTCTGTGACTCAGGTGAGCATGACATCGAGGTGGATGAAGGCACAGAACAGGTCATCCAGGTGGAGCAGATGATAATGCACCCAGCCTACGTGTCCGAGACCTCAGACAACGACATCGCGCTGCTGCGTCTGCGCAGGCCCATCGTCTACAGCACCTACGCCATCCCCGTCTGCCTGCCGCTGCGAGCCACGGCGGAGCACGAGCTGTGGGCCATCAGCAAGCACACGGTGAGCGGCTGGGGCCAACGCAGCCAGGACGGGCCCACGTCACGCTTACTGCGGCGCCTGCAGGTGCCCCTCATCCGCACGCAGGAGTGCATCGAGAGCAGTAACGTGACGCTCACCAGCAACATGTTCTGCGCCGGTTACATCGAGGGGAAGCTGGGCTCGTGTAAAGGGGACAGCGGCGGGCCACTGGTGACCCGCTACAGGGACACCACCTTCCTGCTGAGCATCATGAGCTGGAGCAAAGGCTGCGCCCAACCAGGGTCCTACAGCATTTACACCCACGTCTCCAACTACCTGCAATGGATCCACGAACAAACGGCCAATTCTACAGCTGCAACACAATGAAGCGTTAATGCACAGCGAATCCTCTATTTACATTTGATCATGTCTGATTTTATTCTGTATGCTATGTTTCCATCCACCTATTTTTATGCGCATTTTGGGATATTGCATAAAAAGTGTTACCAATATTTGTTCTTTATTGCAGGTTTTGCATGAATTAGCATTTCACTGTTTTTATTCATTTTAAGGAATACCGAATCTGTTTTTTTTGCAGACAGGAGAGCTGTCAGTCAATATATGGAAGAACAAACTAACTGCCGTTACTTATTTGGAAAAGTAACTCAGATATTTTATTGTAAATTGAAAAGGAATGTGTTTCTTTACTAGTTCCTTGGAAAAAAAGTAATCTGATTACTTAACTCACGTCACTCATAATGCATTACCCCCAACACTACGTTTACTTCTATAGCGCTTTATACAATACAGAGTGTTTCAAAGCAGCATCGCAGAAAATAACAGTTGCAAATTCAGCAATTATTAAAAAAAAAACTTCAATTTCAGCTGTAAAGCAGCTGTATATGCCCTGTCCAGATACACACACTTGTGGTCTCTGCACTTGACCACTTGACTATTTATATGATTTATTCCTGTATGCTGAGATTTACACCAAAGTGGCCAACTTCTTGAAATGGCTTGAGATGGTTATGAAAACCCTTGGATCTCCAGTTGAGCCTACTACATGCGATTAATGTCTGTAATGAGTTTTAAAATACATTTCTCACTCTGAGTTTGTTTACACGTGCTTTTGTTATTCATGCATCTGATCTTCATGTGTGTTGGTTTTAGGGATCATTCTGGTGCGTTTGAGGGACAGTTTGGTAGTCATTAACTGAAACAGCATTGATTTTCTTGTGCAGATTTTGCTAATCATACACCAGACGTGACCCTGTGTAGGGTCAGATTCTGTACATTTCGTGTATGTTATATGTGTCCCTGCAGCACAAAAGCAGTGTTAAGTCGCTGGGGGATATTTGTAGCAATAGCCAACAATACATTGTATGGGTCACAATTATAAATTTTTCTTTTATGCCAAAAATCATTAGGATATTAAGTAAAGATCATGTTTCATGAAGATAATTTGTATGTTTCCTACCATAAATATATCAAAACTTAATGTTTGATTAGTAATATGCATTGCTAAGAACTTCATTTGAACAACTTTAAAGATGATTTTCTCAATATTTAGATTTTTTTGCACCCTCAGATTCCAGATTTTAAAATATTGTCCGATCCTAACAAACCATACATCAATGGAAAGCTTATTTATTCAGCTTTCAGATGATGCTGTTCTTTCTCAATTTAAAAAATGTACTCTTATGACTGGTTATGTGGTCCAGGGTCACATATAAGGTTCAGATATTCCAATAAAAGTGAGTTAAAGGGGTCATGACACGAGAAATCAAATTTGCCTTGATCTTTTGGCATTTAAGAGGTCTTTGTACCATTAAAACATCCTGCAAGTTTCATAGCTTAAAGCCTCCTCCTCATTATAAACAAAGCATTTATTTAATCAAGCTCCAAAAACAGCTCGTCTGGATCTGAGGGGCAAGATGATGTCACCAAAGCGCATAAACACAAATTTACATAAATTTACATTTACACTGTCGTCAGGACAAATGCAGTGAAAGAACGGTCGCTTTGACGCATTTGGTTTAAACAGCTCGTTCACATCTTTGTACAGATATCAGAAGGATCCAAGCATAAGGAACAAGTGGATAGTTTATTTTAATGGCATCCAGGATCGTGTCTGAGGATTTTGTTTTGTAATCGAGGCACAGTGTCACGGAGAGTCACAAAGAATCATTCTAGATCTAGATCTGCATCACAAACCATAAGTAAATGATTTCATAATGCTTTGTCTGGAAATGGCTGTTTTACTTTGATCATGTTGTTAAAACACTGGCATGCAATAGCGAGGGGGCATTGATACTGTTAGGGTTAGGGTTAGGGTTAGGGTCACAACAAGCCTTAAAGGACCCGCCCCTTAAAACAGGTCGCTTCAGAGAGAGGGTTGAAGATAACCATTTTCCCACATACTTATTTGATGTTGTTTTTGTGCAAAAAACTTTATTAACATTATATGTAAACCTCAAGAAACATATAACATAAAAATAAAAAATCCATGTCGTGACCCCTTTAACGGCCCATCTTCATCTCTGTGACCTCAAACAGGACAGAACGTCTTATTTAGATTGACTAAACAGATGTTCACCATTTATCACCACTGCATTATCACCAGCCCTTTGAGATCATTCGCTTATTGTATTCCTCCTCGTAAGTCTCTTTGGATAAAGGCATCTGCTAAATTAATAAATGTAATTGCATTAGCATGAGACTCTTTATGAATCCCTTACATACATGAGCACTCATTTGAGTCTTCTGTACTATATGCATGTTCTGTGTGAGAAACAGAGCCTGATAATCTTGCGCTTGGCTGCGGCTCTCAAATCTGTGTTTGTGTAGAGAACATCAAATGAAGTCATCGGAGAGGTTTCCTGTATGAGCTCTGAACTGAAATATCCCATGTGTCGTGAGTGTAAGCGCTGGTGCTTTTCACTTTGTCCTCTTGTCAGTTTCTCCTCCCCCTGTCTCTCTCTCCCTCCCAGCGCTCAGTTCATTGACCTTCTGTCTGTTTTCTGTCGATCCTCTAATGTGAAAGAGCTGAATGCTGATAAACCACAATGTCTTGGGTCTTCTGGAATTTTCTCTGCTTGTTTCTAATACACTGTGTGAGTTCAGAAGGTGAGTGCGTTGTCTCGACCGAAAAGACCGAAGCTTCAGAATGACTCGTATGACTCTCTTTTTCTGACCTGAAGGTTTGTTGTTTAAGGCCTAATCAATGTCAGAGTGAGTTTGAGCGTGCTAATGATCAGGTTTGGTTTATTTCTCAACACTCGGCTCTTCCTCCGCTATCAGGAGGGAGGCTTTGATGATGATAATGTCATGTGTTTCTCCAGTCTTCCTCCACAGTCGAGATGCCAGTCAGGTTCTGAGCCGGCGCCGGCGCGCCAACACCCTGTTCGAGGAGCTAAAGAAGGGAAACATGGAGCGCGAGTGTGTTGAGGAGCGCTGCAGTTATGAGGAGGCCAGAGAAATCTTCGAGGATGTTAAAAAGACGGTCGGTGGTTTGTTTGTTTGTTTATTTTTAAATACTTCATTGGAAATGTTCAGGAAATAATGTGTACCACCTCAGGCCCAAAATACCAGAGTTGTGAGCACAGCAGACATTAGCCATGTTTACTCAACCTACTCTTGTGCAATTTTTGGGATATTGCATAAAAAAAACATGCTGGATGTAAACGACAAGATGCACACTGTGCGTGTGCTTCGGATGTGTGCGCTCAGAAAACCCTATATCAGAAGTTTAAACTCATATGGTTTAAAATGCATGATTTCAGAGTGATAAACATGATAATCAGAACCAAAACAGATGTTTTTAGCAGGTACGAGCTGTAATGGTGCAGCTCTATTCTGGAAAAGGGGGCGGGGAGCATCAGCTTGTTTGCATTTAAAGAGACAGACACGAAAAACAGCATGTTTCTGCTTCCACTCAAAATAGGCATTTTTTAAATGATCTGTGTGGTATTTTGAGCTGAAACTTCAGACACATTCTGGGGACACCAGAGACTTATATTACATATTGTAAAAAGGGGCATAATATGTCTCCTTTTAAATGAAAAACCCCATTATAAGAACCCACAGGAAAATCTATTGCGGATTATTCGTCTGGGTCTTGACGTTACGGCTGCAGCACACTATTTAGTGCCAGCTAGACGTGTGCAGCTCTATTGTGTGTGTTGTCTGTGACTCAGGTGAGCATGACATCGAGGTGGATGAAGGCACAGAACAGGTCATCCAGGTGGAGCAGATGATAATGCACCCAGCCTACGCGTCCGAGACCTCAGACAACGACATCGCGCTGCTGCGTCTGCGCAGGCCCATCGTCTACAGCACCTACGCCATCCCCGTCTGCCTGCCGCTGCGAGCCACGGCGGAGCACGAGCTGTGGGCTATCAGCAAGCACACGGTGAGCGGCTGGGGCCAACGCAGCCAGGACGGGCCCACGTCACGCTTACTGCGCCGCCTGCAGGTGCCCCTCATCCGCACGCAGGAGTGCATCGAGAGCAGTAACGTGACGCTCACCAGCAACATGTTCTGCGCCGGTTACATAGAGGGGAAGCTGGGCTCGTGTAAAGGGGACAGCGGCGGGCCACTGGTGACCCGCTACAGGGACACCACCTTCCTGCTGGGCATCATGAGCTGGAGCAAAGGCTGCGCCCAACCAGGGTCCTACAGCACGCCTCCAGAGCAAGACATCATCGAATAGTCTTCTTCTCAGCATAGGCCCCACCCACTGGAGTTCAGTTGCTTGATCCCGCTGAATGAGAGCGTTGCGTCGCGTCAAAAGCACATAGAAATAACAATCACTGCGCTATCTCGTCTACACTGGATACAGTAAACAGATATGAGTCTGTCGTCAGGACAAATGCAGTGAAAGAACGGTCGCTTTGACGCATTTGGTTTAAACAGCTCGTTCACATCTTTGTACAGATATCAGAAGGATCCAAGCATAAGGAACAAGTGGATAGTTTATTTTAATGGCATCCAGGATCGTGTCTGGTTGCAAATTCAGCAATTATTTAAAAAAAAACTTCAATTTCAGCTGTAAAGCAGCTGTATATGCCCT